ATAATTAAAAACGGTTTAAAATTGTATTATATACAAATTTAAAAATATATAAGATTTAAATAAAAAAAAAAAAAAATTACTCAGGGAATCGAACCTGCAACCCCGAGCGTAGTAGTAGTCTACGTTTTACCGTGGACGCTACGCTGCTATCTCGAAGATTGCTTTTCCGTAACGGTACTATAGGGACAAAAATTTTTCTTGAAATATTTAAAAAAATATTTCTCGAGAATGCCTCAATAGTAGGTCCTACGGCTTTACAGGAGTAAATGTATGAGTGCATACTACATACTCATAAAATTTTATTCAAATCGGTGATGAGAGACTGCCGGGTTCCCCTTGTCAGTCTTGACGCACACAGCTCACCGCGTCTATAGACCGCGATGGGCGTGACAAACGCCAAACTTTACGCGATTGTTACTAACAAACTAAACGCGTTATCGCTAAATGGAAGAGAACTTTTCTGATCCTCTCGCTTAGCTCTACGCCTCTATGGAGTTGGTGTGTTACAATTATCAGACATAATATGTATATGTATACATATATATATTCTTGCAAAAATACTGTGAAAAGATAATAGCTGTAAGATAAAAAAAATACTCAAAAGACCGTCTTGTGTCGTTAGATAATCGGATAAGCGGACCGTATCAGTTTTTACTTTAAATGCTGCTTCAGTTAAACGGTGGTAACTTTGTCAATTTTATGAATTTTTATATGCGACTTATTTTAAACAGTTTTTAAATGTTTAAACATTAAAATTCAGTAGAAAAAATTTAGAAAATTTCATACTTTCAAAATGGTGTAACCCCTTAAATGTCACTTTAAATTATCGATTTCAGTGGTGGACGCGTATGGTAGCATTGCTTGTATCGCGAACGGGATGGATACGAAAACGTACATTGAGATATCAGAAGCATTCACCAAGTTGACTGTTGATTATCAAAGCGATATAAAGTGTGCATCTCCGAACAGCGTGCTGACGCATCTTGTTCAAATGGCGAAAGACGCATCTTATTTTTTGTCCACAATCAAGGTATGCCAGTATACGACTAAAAAGAAGAAAAATAATGGGAAATTGTAAATATATGATTATTATGTATAGGACCAGAGTGATAAAAACATAGAAAGAACTACAGTAGCTACTATGCGTTTGCTGAAAGTAGTCGAAAAATTAACGGCGATTTATGGCACGTTTCTCACATATGAGATGATACTGTGTTTAATCGCACTATCGACGGAAATGCATGGGTGATGAATCTTTTATTAATCATTTATTTACTCAGTCATTATAGAAATATTCAACTATTGACGACAAAAACACTGTTTAAAAATAAAATATGTGACTATTATAATTATTTACCAGAATTATGAGTCAGAATCGTATTACTGAAAACTTGTATTTATTTTATTATTTTCTACATAGGCATTCATATTTAAATCTAACAAAAGACGGCAGAAAAATAATATCAGTCAATGCTACATCCTTTTTAGATATTATTTTTGACCATGATGATTTTAAGCAGGTAAAACTTTAAAGTGTGTTATTACGCTCTCTGTAGTATTATAATAAAATCTTATATTGCGTAACATTTATATACAGGGTGCCCGTGTAAGACATGCCAAAAGAAAAATATAAGTAGAACAGATAAAAGTGAACAAAAATTGTACAGGTCATTTTTCAAATAACCACGTATAATTTCGAGATATTAATTAAAATAGTTGGGCATATCAGAGCGCGGAGACGCGGTAGGCGAGACATACGGTTTGTCGCAGCCTACGAAGAAAATGGAGCGCACGAGAAAATGGAGAAAACGAGCGCACACATGGAGCTATCTATTTCTATATGCCAAACGGCCCAACTCTCTGGTCTATAAGATAGGTTCGCGAGCAATCGTCCATTTTTTTCGCCGGCCGCGGCGAGCCGTATGTCCCGCCTGTCGCGTTGCCGCGCTCTGATCTGTCCAACTATTTTAATTAATACATGGTCTGTCCGGAAAGTAATGAGACTGATTTTCTTGGGCCATTCAGAAGGGTCGGGGGACAGAGTCCTCTGGCATGACAGTTGGTGGGGAATATCAGGTAAACGGTCCGACCCAGCTCGGTTGCCTCTGAGCCTTTACAGAGTACAGATCACTTGCGAAGTGGACAGCTGTTTGAGCGTCGCGTCACGGGTCAAAATGCAGCGCAGTATCGATCAGCAATATGTGATAAAGTTTTGCGTTAAACTCGAAAATTCTATGACTGAGACGCTTGCTATGATAGAGAAAGCATACGGGAAGGATACGGTAATAAAATAAATAAAGATGAAAATATATAATTTCTAAAATTATTAAAATTATTAAAATTATTAATATATATTTATATATTAATAAAATTAAAAATAAACATAAACATATTAAATTAAATATTATATAAATATCTATATATTATCTATCTATTATTTTTTTATAAAAATTATATTTTTATTTATTATAGGCTTTATAGTTTAATTAAAACATTAATTTTGTAAATTAAATTTATATTATTTTTAATATTTAAGCTTTAATATTTAGTAAAAAAAAAATAAATTATATAATGCTTTATCGAAAGCATAAGTGTTTCGGTGGCACAAAACGTTCAGAGAAGGAAGAGAGGACATCGAGGGTGAGCAACGCGCAGGGCGCCCATCAACGTTTCAACTTCGGACTATGTGACTAAAGTGAAAGCGGTTTTGACATGAGACATTTTAATATCTCCGAAGTGTGAGACATTGATGGGCACCTTGCGCGTTGTTCATCCTCGATATCCTCTCTTCCTTCTCTGAACGCTTTGTGTCACCTAAATATTTGTGCTTTCGATAAAACATCCTTCCCGTATGCTGTCTCTATCATAGCAAGCCTCTCAATCGCAGATTTTTCGAGTTTAACGCAAAACTTTATCACGTATTACTGATCGATATTGCGCTGCATTTTGACCTGTGACGCGACGCTCAAACAGCTGTCCACTCAGTAAAGGCTCAGAGGCAACCGAGCTGGGTCGGACTGTTTATCTGACATTCCCCACCAACCGTCATGTCCGGGAACTCTGTCCTCCGACCCTTCTGATTGGCCCAAGAAAATCAGTCTCATTACTTTCCGAACAGACCATATTTCGAAATTTTACGTGGTTGTTTGAAAAATGACTTCTACAATTTTTGTTCACTTTTATCTGTTCTACTTATATTTTTCTTTTGGCACATCTTACGCGGGTATATATATATACAGAGTGTCTGATTCGTACCGCAGCGCGTGTGCTGATTGGCCAGTAGGCTGCCGTTCGGTAGAAATCTTTCGTTGTTAATATCTCAAAATTTTACGTGGTTGTTTAAAAAAAGACATCGATTCTATTACTCATCCCGATCTATTCTAGCTATATATTAGCTCTGGTACGGTACGAGTCAGATACCCTGTGTATGTGTGTGTGTGTGTGTGTGTATGTGTGTGTATGTACAGGGTGTCCCATTTTAAGTGGGCATCCCGAATAATTTCGGAGGAAGTGATTTTAAAAGAAAATGATCCAGACAAAAGTTGTTGCATTCAGAGGGAGACGTTCAATGGTGATCTTGAAATTGTCCTATATTACTTTCCTCAAGGTTATTCCAAAGTCAAAGTATTTTTTTTTTAATGGAATGACGTAATTTTGGTAACGGCAATCGATAGAGCGGAAAATTTTACGTTAAAAACATGGGTTCATATGTCCTGATCGGTGAACTAGTTGGATCGTCTTCTGATCTTATCTTCACTGGTTGGATTATCTCCTGATCTTACCTTCACTAGTTGGATCATCTTCTGATCTTATCTTCACTGGTTGGATCATCTTCTGATCTTACCTTTACTGGTTGCATTTTTTCTGATTTTGATTTTACTGATTACGATCCAAGTTCTTTGGACTGGTAGTTTAAAATAGGATATGACCTTTCTTCACCTACATTAGGTCGACCGATCAGAACATATGAATCCATGTTTTTAACGTAAAATTTTCCGCTCTATCGATTGCCGTTATCAAAATTACGTTATTCCTTAAAAAAAAAAATACTTTGATCTTGGAATAACCTTGAGGAAGGTAATATAGGACAATTTCAAGGTCACCATTGGACGTCCCTCTCTGAATGCAACAACTTTTGTCTGGATCATTTTCTTTTAAAATCACTTCCTTCGAAGTTATTCGAGGTGTCCACTTAAAATGGGACACCCTGTATATATATACAGGGTGTCTCAAAATTGTAACACACCAACTCCATAGGAGCGTAGAGCTAAGCGAGAGGATCAGAAAAGTCCTTTTCCATTTGGCGATAATGTGTCTAGTTTGTTAGTAACAACCGCGTAAAGTTTGGTGTTTGTCACGTCCATCGCGGCCTACAGACGCTCCGCGGCGAGTTGTGTGCGTTGAGGCTGAGCGGTAATGCGAGGCGTTCATCGTCGCCTCGCCGCACGCCGGCAGCGTAAAAGTGTCAAGATGTCATCGCGGCGGTCAGCGCGAGCCTATATAACCGAGAAATTAATTACGAAAGATTATGGAAAAGTGTACTGAATGGTAGAGAATGGATCGTTCGAGTCACAGCGCAGCCCAGTAATATAGCGTGCGGATGTCACGCGTGGCAATTGGAAGACAATGTAGCATTGCCTATATTTATTCCGCTTCTACATCTCGCCTCGGCGCGGTGCAGCAAGACGTAGGAGCATAGCGTTAGAAGTATAGGCAGTTGTCTTCCAATCGCCACGCGCGACATCCACGCGCTATATTACTGGGCAGCGCTGTATTCGAGCTTCCATCCTCTACCATACAGCACACGCTTTCCCTTAATCTCTTGTAAATAATTTCTTGGTTATTACGAATATCGCAAAACGGTATAAGACTTTTATGTTTATTTTAACCCGCTCTACGTTTTCACGAGAGCTTCATAGCTTGTTCTGGGACACCCTGTATATACAGGGTGTCCCGAAGTCCCATGATGACCCTTGGTGAGAACGTAGAACGGATTGAAGTGAGCAAGAAAGTCCTGTGCCGGTTTGCGATATTCGCAATAGTTTTTGAGAAATTAATTATTTTGTCTCAACAAATCAGCGTACAGAAAGCGGCAGCGGAAAGAAAGATGCCTTCGGCCGACGTGCGACCGTGACACTCGCGAATCGTATCTCGCCGCATCCCTCCGCCCATAGCTACGAGACATAG